ATGTAATTTTAATAGTAGTAGATGTAGCGGCGAGGATTACATTAGAGATCGGCTTTAAACTCATATCATTTTGCTTTAATTATGGATGTTCTTGTTGGAGATTTACGAGAGGCTGTACATTGGTGTATGCTTTTTACTGTTGATATCGTTCTTATGGATAAGACGAGAGAGAGAGTTGAGAAAAAAACTTGAATTATGGAGGTCAACTTTAAAGCCTAAAGACTTTAATTTGAGCTGATATAAAACTGAATACATGGAATGCAATTTTAATAGTAGTAGATGTAGTTACGAGGTTGTAATAATAGATGATTTTGCCATTAAAAGGAGTGAACTTTTTAGATATCTAGGGTCTATTGTTCAAAGTGAAGGCGATATTGACGGGGATGTTATTAGTAACATTTAGTTTGGATGGTTGAAGTAGAGGAATGCATTAGGCCTATTGTGCTATATAATAGTACTAATGGCATCAATAGTTTACGACACAAAACGTTGTTATGTAAAAGAGAAGCATAAAATTAAGTTCAATGTTGCTCAGATGAGAATGCTCATGTGGATGGGTGGCTTTACACTTAGAGACAAAATGTGAAACAAATATGCACGTAAAAGGGTTGAGCTTAAGTGGAAGACAAGATACCAGAATTAGTAGGAAAAATAGTGAAAACACAAAAACAATTTTTCATTAACATGAAAATAGGATCACAACATGACTCAAACGAAAATAACAACACAAGACATTAAGTCATAAAAAGGCACGCTCTCTTAAATGTATTTCAATGGGTGGTGGAGGTCGTCTAGAGGGATAGAGATGATTAGGAGGCGGATGACGACTAGTGGATGGCGCTGAACTGTACGGACAACAGGTGGGAAAAGGTTGTAGGTGGTCAACAACGGTAGTGGGGTTGTTGGAAAAAAGCTTGAAACGAGTTAGGATGACGGGTTAGCAGTAATAACATGTGTGAAAGGGAAAAGGCTGGGTGTCAGAGTGATGAAGGGAGAGTTTGGTGGTTGAAGACTATGGAGAAGAATGTTTGGAAAAGGTAAAAGGGAGGATATAATCACCACCTTGGAGTGAATTCAACTGAAACACCACCAACACCTCCTCGGATACAGACCATAAAGGGGAAAGAAACTCTATACAAGAGATATGAAATTAAACGCACTAAGAAACGACTCCTACATACTCAAGGACAACAATTTATAGGCTCAAAAGAAACTTCTACACAAAAGGAGAGGGGGAATGCAAGAATACATAAAGTCCAAAATTCCACCGTTGGCGCCCATCTGGATCGCGCATGTTCGCCATCCTTCTCCCTGCTCTCGCGAGGGTTCCCTCAGTATTGCGTATTCGCGCAGGATCGAGATCCCGCTTTTCCACGAGGCTGCGTGAGTTCACGGGCCCCTTTCTCGCAGAAATGAAGCGCTCGCATTGTGCGTTGCCCTAGCGTCGTGCCTACGTCATTCTCTTGGGGTTGGGAGAGCTTTGACTTCATTTGTCGAAGTTTTCATTTCGATGTCAGTCACCCTGAATCCCACTAGCAATTGCACTGTCTCTCGTCTTGTGTCATCACTAAAATTGATTATACAGCTGCTATTGTATTGAAAAGGGTTCCTTTGGGGCCCTGAACTCTGTCGAAGGAGGGTCATGCACTTCTTGTCCTTTGTGAATAAATATGTGTTTTTATATCCGTCGTGTTGAGTCCTTCAGTCAAATTGCCACGGTGGTCTTAGCAAGAGGTGGCAGGCAGACATAGGGACTACGTCACACCACATCTGATCTTGTAGCTAGCCTCAAGTCGAAAATTCTACCAAACATCTTCGATCGATGCTGACCTGATTCTCCATCAGCTATATTACTGAAATATGACTGGGAATGTTTCTGAGTCACAAGTCCCAATCTCTCTACCATTTGTGTCGACGCCACGTTCTTATTGCTTCTGTCTTCGATGATGAAACTGCATACCTTTTCTTTTCCTATACGTGTGAAATATGTTGTGGCAAAGCCACTGCGAGTCCATCGTGTCTTATGTTTGTAGGATTCGTCGAATCACGAGCGCCTCTTCTTTATCTGGGGGAAGCTGATACTCCTCATCCTATTTCTTAGCTTTCTCTTCATCGCTAATTTCTTCTACGTCGCATTGATCGATTGAGTATGATTACCCTGCCCGTGGGGCAACTGAAGGCAATGTGGCCGTAGCCGTGGCATTGGTAGCACTTTTTAGCAGGCACCGTGCTAGAGTTTCCCTTCTCTCGTTTCTTACCGCTTTGAACCATAGTGTCAATTCCTTGTCTGGGCTTGTCTGTGTCTCTTGAAAGATCCTTGTCTGTCGTGGTAATTGTAGGTGATAACCTGCCTGGAGCTTGCTGCTTGAAAGATGATTGTTGCCGACTTTGCTTTTGTTGTCTTTCAACCTTCTAGGCTATTGTCTGGACATCTCCTAGCATCTAGTATGACTGCAACTATACTGCATTGCTGATGACAAGTTTCAGACCACCGAGATATCTGACTATCATATGTTCTTTTGGCTTGTCAGCTCACATTTCATCTACAAGTGGTGGAATTAGGCAGTAAACTCTTCAACTGAAATATCCATCTGCTGCAAGTTGTGAAGTTTTAGAAACAAATTCTGACGATAATGAGGTGGGAGGTACCTTTTCTGCATTCTTCATCTTCTCCAATCTAGTGATCTTTTCACTGTCTTGCACATTTTCCCACTATAGGGAACACTCTTCTTCAATTTAATATCGGCTAGCTTGACCAGTTTCTCTTCTGATACATCTTTATATTCAAAAATTCGTTGAACGGATAGCAGCCAGTCGATAAACTTATCGGGATCCATGCCTTCTTCAAATTCTGGAAGGTTCATCTTGATGCCAAAGTCCCGCTGGCCTCCATAAGGAGTCTCTTCTCTCGTCCTCCTTTAATATTGGATACCAAAAATGTGAGGTCGATATTCTTCGTCGTTGTGACCTTCCTGTGGAACGAATTAAGATCCTCGTTTCTATCTTCCCCACGATTTTCTCGATCACGGTCGAAGGTAATCTTTTCTTCTTTCCCGTCATCTAGCTTGGCTAGTCTCCGTTGCAGACGACGAATTTCATGTTGTTTCTCTTCTCGAGTAGAGCCTGACGTATCTCTTCGCAGCGGCATGACAAAAGTTGGAAGAAAAAAAGTTGATGGGGGTGGACTGAGCAGGGGTGGATGTTGTGGGAACCCTATAATAGAACTAGGGCTGGACTAGTTTTGATACTAAATGATACTGGAACTAGTAGGAAAAATAGTGGAAACAAAAAAACAAACTTTTGTTAACATTAAAATAAGATTACAACATGACTCGAACGAAAATAACAATACAAGACATAAAACAACACAAAACAAACACTCTTAAATGTATTTTAATGGGTGGCGGAGGTCGACAGGAGGGATATAGTTGATTGGGAGGAATGACAATAGTCACGAGAGGCGGGTGGCACTAAGAGGATGGTGCATAACTGTAGGGACAGCAGGTGGCGAAGGGTTGTAGGTGCTCGGCAACGGTAGTGGGGTTGTTGGGAGGAACATGAAAGGAGTTTGAAAGACGGGTCAACAGTAATAACCTGTGGGAAGTGGAAAAGGTTGGGTGTAGGGGTGTTGGGGTGTCAGAGGGAGAGTTTGACGGCTGAAGAGTGTGGAGGAGAAGGTTTGGGAAAGGTAAAAGAGAGGATCTAATCACCACCTTGAAGAGGATACAGTTGAAGCACCACCACCTCCTCGAATACAACCCACAAAGAAGAAAGAGGCTCCACACAAAATTTAAGATGAAACACACCAAGAATTGCTTCCTACATACTAAGGGACAACAAATTATAGGCTCAAAAGAATATTCTACACAAAAGGAGAGAGGGGGAAGGCTAGAAGAAGCTAGAAAATCTAAAATTCCACTGTTGGAGCCCATATGGATCGCGTAGGTTCGCGATCCTTCTCCATGTTCTCGTGCAGGTTTTCTCGCTATTACGAGTTCGCGCGGGATCGTGCTTTTGCTGTTCCGCGAGGCTTCGCGAGTTTGCTGGTCCCTTTCCCACGTAAACAAAGAGCCCGCAATCGGGCACTGCACTGCCCTAGCGCCCTGCCTGCGTCACAAGATTAGAGAGTCGCCTTTAGATGATTTGATCATGTTAAACGTTGACCATCTGATTGTCCAATCAGGAGAGTATATGTTTTAGATTTGAATTATGTTAAGAAGGGTAGAGGCAAACCTAAAATGACATGGGCATGTTATATAAAAAATAATCTTCATTTATTAGAATTAAATGAAAAAATGACACTCAATAGGACTTAATGGAGAAAAATGATTCATGCCGCCAAGCCCACTTAGTGGGATAAAGGGTTGCTTTTGTTGTATTCAATATTTAAATCGATCAAAATTAAGAATTTTGAAATCTCTCCACAAAATTTGATCATTTTCATTTGTTTTGTGAAAATGTGGCATATATTCTCTTAATTGATCAATTGGTTAAAGTGATTTTAACTTTATATGTCTTTAAGGTAACAATTGAATGTGTATTTTTGGTAATGAAGATTGTCAAGGCAAGGTTGCAAAAAGATGGAAGATGATTTTCAGTCCTTTGATAACACATTTAGATGGGTATTATAAGGTATTTTGAGGTTGAATCAATAATTTATGAATTTGATTCAATGAAAAAGCGGATGACACAATTTAAGATGCCTGACCATAAAAGTTTGATTAAACGAGTTTTTTTTTCCTTTTAACTTTGTACCATATTGTTATTTAGAAATTTTTTGTCTGTTTGTTTAAAAAATTGAATTTATAACTTTGATTTATTTTAGGTTGCTTTTGATTTGAGTTTTTTTAAATGCTGGTTCCGGTTGTTTATGAGTGCATGGTTCATGTATTTTCTGAATGTAATGTAAACATTATCCTATCTAGAATATTGCATTCAAAATATCAGATTATCATAACTGGATGCGAAAGTTGATGATATGTATTTATTTTTCATACCAGGGCTGCTGATAATCAGGTATGTAAAGCCTCTTTCTCCATATCAACTTTGTAAGATTTTTCCTGTCTATAGTACTTTTTATATACATTTCATTTGTTTTCAATTTTCTATTTATTTTGAGATAATTACGGGATTGAGTTTTTTTATTTCAATTACAGAAATCCTGAGGTTTTTCCAGTACAGATCTTAAGAAAAATAGTAAAATGGTCTATGTAACTTCATAAAATATGAATCTAAAAAAAAGTTGAACTTGATTGAATGAGTAACACTAGGTCTTCATTTTTAGCTGTTTTTATGAACTAGACGGGTAGCTGAAATTCTGATTATTACTATTGGATTTTGAGATATGTGTTCTAACTAAAATTTTCATGTTCTTTCATAGGTTGCATTAATAACATAATTATCATATATGAACAGTTTTCTAACTACAAATTTGTTTTCAAATTGTAAATTGGTGCACGAGGTATATGCTGATTGTCATTTCATTGCTTTTTTGTTTGGCTTGATGAATAATACGCCATTCACTGCTCCAAAGGCTTTTGAAACCACTATGCTCGTTTCCTTTCATTTTCTTCTGATTGTGTTCAATTTGCATCCAATCTGCTACTTGTATTATTGTCAGTGGATGCCTTGCAGCAATTTCAGCACTTCTTTTTTCAGATCATGAAGTGCAATATTGCCTTTTGTAAGTTTCAAATGGAATTTTCCTTGTACAGTGTAATCTTCTTCACATCATACTCTTTAGATTGGTTGAAGCCTGAATAGCAAAAGTTCCAAATTGACTTTTCTCATTTTGTTTTTTTTCTACAACCTCCTACCAGCCTGATTTTGACATGATTCTTAACATTCATGAAGCTTGTGCCTATATCTTTATGATTTCATTAATGTTTCAGGAGACGGTTTATCCACCGTGATGAGTATTTTTTCCCTTATGGATGCTAGCATATTAAATTTTATTCCATCCATCCTTGAGGAAAGTATTTACAACATCCTGCCAGCCTGTTTTTGACATGAGTCATTGGAATCATTTTTGTTATTTGTTTTTATTTAGTTTTGTTTATCGCTTTATTTGAAATAAAACATGTTTATCTACTTGGTTAGGCCCTGTTTTTTATCCCATTTGTTTTTTATTTTTTATTTTTTGATTTTTTGTTGTTTTGCAATGTTTTGATTTGAATTAAAGCCTGTTTAGTTGTAGTAGTAGTTTTTATAAGCGCGCTCTCTCTCTCTCTCTCTCTCTCTCTCTCCAGCCGATGCTGCCAAATAGTTTAAAGTATATATATATATATATATATTAAAAAAAAGCCCAAGGGCTAATATATTAAAGAAAAAGATACAAATAGGTTTGTATGGGTGGGCTTAAACACCCAACCCACACTGTAGAACACACAAAAAAATATAAAACATGGGTACATATAGAAATAAAAAAACCCAAAAACCACTCGGGCGCTAAAAAAGTGTGGGTCATCCTAATCTAGTCTTGCTTCTGGCTCTAGTTTTCGGTAAGGATCCAACTAACAGGTTGGTAATGTGCTGATCATTACTCGTAGTAACCAAAGTATCATCCATAAGACTCTTGAGCTCTAGTAGATCTTCATTTTTCTTCTTCCTTCTGGAAGTGTAAACCTATCATTCCTCCTCCGAAGCATCAGCCTAATGGGGTAGATCTGAAGCAGAAGGAATAGCAACAGTATTACCCACGATAGGTTCTAGTATATGTGAAGCATGAGTTGCCTCTATATCGGATACTTCTTGAAGAAGTGGAGCTACGAGACTCTTCTGATTATCAGTTTGAACACTATCATTTATAGGTAATGGTCCATCAGTATTGTTTTCTATGGAGTTTGTAGGTTCCAACATCGCATCACTCGCAGTAACAATAACAGCGGTGTCATGGGGGGGTCCTCAGGTGCAAACACCTAATGTCTGGTAGTATCCTCCTCAGGTGGGTTAGACCTCTCATTATTCACTTGAACCTTAGATTTCAAAATAGGATAAAGCTTGTGACATTTAACAAGGATATGACCAAACATCTTACAGTGGGTACAATATGGGGGTTTGTGTTCCATGGTGATTTGTTGCCAATAACTATTATGGGTTGTGCCCCCAGACTTCGCCCAGCCAGACTTCAGTAACATCAGGTAAAGTAATATTCATTTCCACAAGTATTCTGGCCACTGAGGGTCTTATTAGGTTGAAAGTAAGCAGATCTAGTTTCAAAGGATCCCCAAGGATGACCCCAATAGAGTAGAGAACCAAATGGTGAAAAAGAGACCAGGTAAACTAAACCATACCGGTATAGTGGGAGTTTCATGCTTTGGGTCAAAATTAGGAGACCAGTTGAGTAACTTCATTGATTTACATTCGATATTAAGATATTTCTTGAAGAAAATTATGGTGTTGTCTTCAACCATTGTTAGTTGGATCAACGTCTCACATCCATGAATCTCACTTTCAACTTGCCTACTAGCTTAAGATCGTCAACACTCGTTTTGATAATATCCATAGGAGGGTGTAAATTTTGCCAATAAGAGCAAACTTGAATTTTCTGTCATGGTAGAAATTTCTGATTCAGAGAAAAAGATTGCTTCTTTTCCTCCTTTCCTATTTATCTTCTTAATAAAAGGACAATAATCTGTACCCTCACGACATTCATTATAACTTGAGTGGAATATTACTGCGGACTTCTCCTGAGGGTTACTCACCACGCGGGCAAATGAGACTTTGTCCGGCTCAACTAAAAAAGAAAGAAACACCATCAGAGGCTGTCGGCATTAAACTGCTGCGAGGTTTGCTGAAAGACAAAGGAGCTGTCAGGCGTCGAAACAGAAGAATCGGGAGCAGACGACAGCTGCGAGCGACAAAGGCTTGGAAGACGACGACGACGTCGAGCAGAGTAGGTGCGAACATTAGCGTCGAACAGAGGAACGATAGAGACAGAGGAAGACGACGACGCGAGCAGTGGAGATATCACGACGCGATCCGCGACAGGGAGTGCGAACGTCGACGTAGATGCAGACGCTGGAGCGAGGGTCAACAATGCGAAATCTTCTCCTTCCAGCGGTAAATCAATTACGATCGAAATCGCCATTGGAAACCCTAGCGGAGCTCTCGACCGTAGCCAACATCGTGATGTGTGTGTGTATATATATATATATATATATATGTATATATAGATTCCTCAAAATATATTTTAGGTGTTGTGAGTGTTTTAAAAATAAAGTGATTTGTTTTTTAGAACAAAAAATTAGAACATATAAAAATTATACTAATTAAATATGTTTTCAAAAGTAAATATAGAAATGAAAACAAAAATGATGCAAGATGCATTTTTAAACACACTCGAAACAACTATGAGTTATTTTTAGTGTTTTCAAAATTATTTTAATTAATTTTTAGAAACAAAAAATAAAAATATATAATAATACGGTAAAAAATGTTTTTAAAGCAATAGAAAAAACAAAAATAAAAATAAAAACCAAATTGAAGCTTGTGTCCATGCTTTTATGATTTCATTAATGTTTCAGGAGATGGTTTATCAACCATCACAAGTAATTATTACCTTATGGTTACTAGCGTATTAAATTTTATTCTATCCCACCTTGAGGATTTGGCTTGTTTCTTGACTATGTACCCATGTGTCCGTCTCTTAGCTCCTCTCCTGGCCCCATAGAGAAGCACCATGAGAAGTTTGCAGAGTTCACTGTTTTAAAATTTGGCTTTTCTTCTACTTTTTATATCGTTATGGCCTATTGCTTTATCCAAATGGGTTCTAATTGTAATCAGCGAACTTACTTCAACGTGAAGCTTTTTTTTCTCCTTCTTCTATGGGACTATCATTCTGGTTGGGCTCTTCAGATGATGACACGATGAAGTAGGAAATTTGAGCTTGATATCCTTTGTTTTTCCCTGTAAAATCTACTGGCATTAGCAGTGAGTCAGCCAGCTACAAATGTTCTTTTACCTCATGGCTCTGTATGTTCGATAATTTTAGTGACCTCTTGAGAGTTTAGCCACTCAAGGGGAATATAAAGTTGAATATTTCTCAAGAAAATATTAATCCCATCTGTATCGTGGTTCTTTGTGTTCTCTATAATATGTTTTTCAGTATTATTTGGGTCCAACATCTGAACTGTTGGTTTAACTTTGTTGCAGTGAAATTATGCACTCACTTCTTGAAATCCGGCCCTTGAAATCTTCTCACGATGTTAAAGCTTTAGCATTCTCTCATGAGTAGTTGAATAGCAATTAATGGGTTGGATTTTGATTTTTTTTTTGTTGCACGAAAATGTGTTAGGATCCGGCATTATATTTGAATTTTGTGAAAATTCTTATGTCACTTAATCAAACTTCATCATATCGTTGGTCTCTCTTACATTGTTGTAGATGGTCTTCTGGCTTTAAATGTTATCTGTCCAATGATATCCTTGTTATTTATCATACTTGTCAGTTGATTCTTTACAGAAGTGGGATAAATTTTCTAAGAAAATTTCAAGCTTGCTGGATTTTGTGAATTTTTATATTTTGTTGGTACCCACTTATTATCAATTTTTGGAGCTCAATCTTTGCTTTACATATAAAGCCCAAATTCACAACTTATGGTATTTTGAATAAATACAATACAAATTTTTTGGTTAATAACTTGATTTATTTATTTTTACCAAATTTCTTATTATAGATTATTTCTACGTCAGAATTTAAATCAGAGCACCATTTATTACCAGAAAGGTGTAGAGAACACGGATGCTAATTCATTTTAACTGTTCAGTTTGGGTTCGACTAAAAAGTAGCTCGGCCTAATGTAGTTTTTAACCTGATTTTGACTTATTTAAACCTGAACTTGACCTTTCTTTCATGAGATACAATTGCATTGGTTTTAACCTGATACAAAAGGCATGTTAAGTTGGTCCCCAAATAAAAAGAAATGTTCTTATTAGAAGAAAGACTATTTTGGTTTTGATTTTTGGGTGACCTGGTGACAATTCAAGTAGAAATTGATTTTTTTAAGTTTAATAATTGTTGTCCAAACTCATCCTAAGTCATCCACTGGTTTTCTGAAGCTCAAAATGTGTGTCAAGCTTGATTGCTATAATGCCAGGTAATATTGACATGCATTGGAGAGAGAGCCATAGGCTTGTGTTAGGCTTAAACATAGAGAAGAGATAGCGAAGAGGGGAGAGAAAGAGACTGAATGGATTTAAAAAGAAAACTTAGATTGAGAGAAAGAGTGGAAGCCAGCCAAGCAAGGAAAGGAAATTTTTTTCTTCTCTTTATTTGTCCGCTGAATTTTTTCTATGTGATTCAAGTATAATGTTTTTGATGCAATCATTTTGGTGCAATAACTAGGTTGGGATGTCATGATTGAGCATGATAATGCCAAGATAAGTGTGGTGGCTGCAGATTTAAGTTTGGCTGTACCAGAGAATGTCTTATTTTTAAGAACAGAGAATATGACTTTTGAGGTTCTTTATTATATTTTTTACCTATAATCTTACTTTGTTGTTTGGCAATTTTATTGTTTTTGAGTATTTAGAGTATTGCGCATAAGAGAAACTTATAATACATCATTATTTGTCATAGTGGAGCATTTTTGTTTTCTATGAAGCCGTGGACATAGGTTAATCATTCTCGTCAAACCATAATTTTTTTTCTTCTCTATAGAAATTTCTGTAGTTTATTTCTTCATTGTCCTGTCTCTTATGGTTATTTTTCTAACACGCCTCTCCTCTGCTGATGTTGATCGGTAACATACTTTGCACCATTTCTCCAATGAGGAGCCTCAAGTCTGAACATGTCTCTTTGTTCGTAGGAGCTGATGATCCATCTAATACGACTTCGTAGACATTTTGTTTTCATTTATTTCTTTCTCAGTGAAATTTTGATAGTTAAATCTCAAAATGGTCCCCCAACAGGCCGACTATTGAAATGTCACCAATTTAATCTTAGAGTTTTGCAATGCTCCAATTTAATCCCCAACTATTGAAAATTAATCCCGGTTGGCCCTCAGGGCCTGAATTGAGATCAATTTTATATAGTGAAAAGACTAAATTGGGATAATTTTTTTTTCATGATTTATGCTCTATGGACCACTTTGAATCAATTTTCACTATTCTGGGGATTAAAATGGAGCATTTTAAATCTCTAGGACTAAATTGGTCACATTCAAATAATGAAGGACCGTTTTGAGAATTAATTTGAAAATTTGATGAAATTGAAGTTGAACCTTCCAGATTTTATTCAAGTGCTTTAATTATTATTAGTTTTTTTCAGTTATTTGTAGCAACATGCTCCCCAGCTCGTGACGCAAGTGCTGGATATGTTGCTTGGGGTCACTCTACCCTTGTAGGACCGGTTAGCACAGTCTTGAACTGTATACTGCATCTTTTTTACACATTGTTAAGAATTTACAAACCTGGGCTTTACCTTGACCATCCAGGACAATTTAATTAAAAAGGGCATTTACGTGCATACCATATAATTCTTATGAATTCACATATCTAACATCTATACTTCACTTTTTATACTCATACCACCCAAATCTTTCATATCACATCAAAACTAACAACATTTTAACTTTTAAAAAGTGAAATACACTTTCATGCATGGGTAAGGTGGTATGAATGTAAAAATTGAATTTAGGTTTTAGGTATGCATATGCATAGGAATTAAGTGATATGCATGTAAATCTTCCTTAAAAAACTGTGTTTTTTATTCAGTTTGGAGAGATCATTGCGACTACTGAGCATGAGGAAGCCATCATTGTGGAAGAGATTGATTATTCACTGCTAGAGTTGAGGAGGTAATTTAACCGAACTATAAACTTATTCAAATATGGTTGGTTAACTATAATCTGTACCATATACCCTTGCAAAGAATTCCATAACAATTTTATGCCACTTGACTTTCTCCGGCCTTGTGCCAGCACAATGTTGAAGGCTTTTAGAACTCGTTAATGGCGGAGGGGATTTGAGCTTGAACATAAACTTTTTAAACATATAAGAAAATATATATTATTTTCACTATTGCGATTTGTTAGGCTTATGTGTGGAATTATGTATACGGCCACAGCGATGAAAATTGTGCGGATACAATTCAAGATAATAATGACGAGGATCGCACGCAATTTTTTGTTTAATTGAAGGGAAGATGGATGGATTTGCATCCATCTTTAATAATTTCATTATTTCAATTTTGAATCGTAATGGAAATAGTTGTGATGGAATTGATATTTGGGGCATTTACATACATACCACCCATTTCTTATTTTTTTACATATCTAACATATAAACTTTGCTATTTTACAATTATACGACCCAAAAATTTCATGTCACATAAAAAATACATCCATTTTAACTTTACAATGTGAAATACACATTTTTTATGCATAGGTAAGGTGGCATGTATGTAAAAATTTAAGCTTAGGTGTTTGATATGTAAATACATATAAATTGAGAGGTATTTATGTAAATCTTCCTTAATGAAATTCATTACACTAATGGATGAAATCCAGATCACATCAGCTGATGCATTCACTGTCCTTGAAAAATAAATTTTCACTCGATTAAGTTCAGTTAATTATAGGAGCTGAATATCAATCAAAATTTTCTTGCTGGTTAGAAATTCCTTTTATATGAAGTTGAACCTTCTTCTGTAGGTCTAACCTCCCATTACAGAATCAAAGGCGTGGGGATCTCTATCAGTTTGTTGATGTGCAGAGGGCCAGCCATCACTAGATATGTATCTTGTTTCTTTTCACTTTAAATTTGTGCAAGATATTTTTCAGATCTATAATTTATTCTAAATATTTGATTGAAATTTGTATAGATTTTTAAGTACTTTGTGAGTGCTATGAGATCTTTTATTGATTTTAAGATATCTTACTGTATGAAAAAAAGGAAGTTTGCAATAATTTTCTTTCATTAGTTCTCCTCCATCTTTTTTATTTTCGTATTATGTTCTCTTTGTTTGAGAACAATATTTGGATGTACTTTCTTAAGATGGTATAATCATTTCTATTTATGAAGAGAATTTATTAATGCATCTCTTTTGAAACATTTTTTGTTGAATTATTTGATTTTTGTGTGGTTATTAGTATCAGAGTTTTGGGTTTAGAAAGATGACTTCTTAAAAGTATAGGCGATGGGGATGCTAAAGTGAATAAGCTCTTTGGTCTTAAGGTTTTGATGTTCATATAAGATTCCTTGCCTCTTCGAAAGCTCGAGTAATCGTTGAATTAACAACTTGGTTAGTCGATAAAAAGTAGGAGTTGATGGATAAACAAACATTGGGATTATTTGAATGTTGTTTTCAACATCTACAACAAGACCACCTACAATAGGAGCATGGAGATACTCTTTAACATTTGCAAATAAATTTCTTGCTATTAATAGGTGTAATGGGAAAGTTTTTTTTTTAATTTAAAGATTTCAGAAGCTTTAATTGTCAACCACATCAATGGGTTGGATTTAATAATGGAACAACTGAGTTCCATGAGATTCAGATTGTGCAATGACATCAATGATTTAAGTTGTTTCTGACAATTTTTGAAAATCTAGGATAGCATTGTTATGACTTCATGAAGTTTACTGTTATCAAAGATCTAATCTTTAATGGGGGATATTAGAAGATAGAAGTGGAAAATATATTACTTATTTTGCTTTAAATGTTGATAAAATGACTAAATTGCAAAGCAAGGGTAATAACAATAAGAACTACTCACCTTATAAAATGGTTAGCATGTGGATAATGTAAGAAGGCTTGAAGAAGCATGCATAAGGCCAAAAATTAATGGAAATGGTGATGAATGTTGTTATGGAGACATCTATGATATATCAAGGCTCACTGCAAATGCTTTTGCGAATATATAGATATTGGACTCTCAAGGATTTAATGATCTCGCAAGCAATCCCTTGCTCTGCTCCCTCCGTTTCGCTTGCTCGCTCCGCCCCGTTTTAGCATCTATCCCTTATTTGGTATATGAGTCATTCCTAACATGAAACAACAAATCTTAGAATTTGGAAGCTTAACTAAAATACATCACTATCATACTAAAAAACTTGATCTCCCTCGAATTTTCTCATGCTGTACAGTCCGAACTTTCATCGCAGATATTTTCAGCTTGATGCTCAGATGTTGCTTGCAACTTCCACTGTGCCGCCAACACTCCTTGTCATGGATTCCTGTCATGGTTGCATGTCATCGTCATATTATAAATATTGATTTTATTTTGCAAGCAACGAAATACTTAAAACCTCTAAATTTTGCTTGCAAGTAGCCAAATTAGTTACTATTTTTCTATGACAATTATTTTCTCAAACTTATGGAAAAAAATAAGATTTTTTTTTCAGTAATTCAATTGGCAAAAATTATAAATAATAATAGTAATAATAAATTGTTTGAGAAAGATAGATTTTTATCTAATGTTTTAAAAATATGATTTTTTAAAGAAGAATATGAATATCAACAATGATAAGATTCTAAATAATAATATCATATATAAAATTTTTAAATAAAATATAACAACAATAATAATATTTTTAAAACTTTAGATGAAAATCTATTTTATATTAAAAATGATTTATAAAATGATATATAAAAAATTTTCGAACATGACGGCGTACTCATATAATATATATATATAGAGAGAGAGGAGAGAGAGAGAGAGAGAGAGAGAGAGAGAGAGAGAGAGAGAGAGAATTCTGGGAGGGGAAAATTACTAAATTGCCCAAATTACATAAGAATTAAGAAAATAAAATTTTATAATTTATTTAGATAAATTTCAAATTTCAAGGGAGTAACTACCCATCCTGAATATAGCATGATTTTGCCATTACCTTCCTCAAAATATGATTACCAGCACATTAGGCAAATAAAATGGAGGATGAAGCTTGAGAGCTCATTTATGATAAAAAAAAGTTAAAAATTATTCATTATTTTTTATTTAAAATTTTCTCAATCAAATTAATATTTTGGTACATTATTTTCTCATCTCTGCGTTTTCCTTACAAGTTAAAATAGTCCATATTTTGTAACATTAGCACAAATCAAAACAAAGAACTGCTATATTCCATCGTTGACTTGACTTCATATTCATCTTACCCTTTCCAGCGATGTTTGGCTGCAGGATCAACATACCTTAATAGGATTTATGAAATCTGGATTTCGTTTGAAGTTGAAATTTCTCATCAAAATCAATTTTTTTTTATGCTCTCTCCTCTCCAATCACCATTTTACTCTTTTTTTGAGGCGTAAACTGCTCCCCTCCTGTTCTTCATCTCAGAAGCACTTTTTCTCAATTTTCGTGCAGCTGAAGAAATAGGTGTTAATGCACCGCGAATCAAAAGTTCTGTTTTATTTTAATCAACCCAGCTTTTTTGCATATATAGTTTGCTCAATTGTTTTCACTGCTCTCCTCCACCCTTCTCCATTTGAAAATGTCATCTCTGATGAGAATTTAACCTCAGTTGCCAGAGGAATCATTCCTCTTTATGGAGTTGGACCAGCTTTTCTAACCCTAGATGCAAAAGAAGACATGGAAGCCATGATTCTTCTCAGTCCATGTCTCTCATGTTTCTCCATGCTTGACACCAGACCCAATGCCTAGATTCCCTTGTCTACCTGTAGCTTTTAGTTTTCTAGCTTCATTCTTCTAATAGATGAGATAAAGTTGATTCTTTTAATCCTAAACTGATTTCATACAGGCACAGCTGCGGGAGAAATGTGAAGCCTTTTATCTTAAATTCTGAAAATCTAGGTTTTGTCTAAATCATCAAATAACCTCCTCAAATCTTCATTTTCTAACTAATTTTAGTTCTGTTCTTCCCCTTTGTTCCACGCCTGATTCAGAAGGAGGAAGAGAATGGAGGAAGAAACCTTCTCAGGACTTGGCAATAGGACTTTGCTTTTCCATAAGAGCTTTGTGCAAGTTCAGGGCATATTAGATCAGAACAGTATTCTGATCAATGAGATAAACCAGAATCATGACTCCATGATCCCTGATAGCCTTAGTAAGAATGTGAGCCTCATTAGAGAGCTCAACAACAATGTACGGTGAGTTGTTGACCTCTACGCCGGCCTCTCCATTTTGCTTGTGAAGCCCATGGCTGCCTTCTCCGATGGAGACTTATTGTAAGTTTGAGAGAGTTCAGTCTAGTCAGAGAATTGTGATCAGATGAAGAGGAGAGGTGATTTATATCAGTATTGTATTCTTTTTTAATCTCATTCAATGATGTAGTTTTTTCACTAATGATAAGGCTGTTATGTTTTAGCTTTTATGTATCTATGTAAAGGGCATGTTATGTTTAGAAGGCCTATGGATTGAGAAGAGTCAACATTGGTCTTCTTATTAATTTCTACCTTCCTTTTGTTATTGTTTATGCCTCAAATTATGGAGCTATTTTCTATATTACTAATTTCATTACTTTTTCTTGATTATTTGTCCTCATATACCTTGTGTTTAACTAGATGAAGTTATATTTCATGCAATTGTGGGCATTATAAATATTTTTATATAAAGAAAGTCAGGCAATAGTTTTCTTGCAATGACCATATTGTAGTAATATCTTGTTCTCAAAAATAGTTTTCCACCATCAAAATGTTTGAAAAAAGTAGCTAAACGGATGTGTGGCAACGGTCTGAAAAGTATAACAATGAGAAAATTGTCCCAAACTATTGCTTGCTTATCTAATTTGTTATGCTTATTCTCTGTTTCTTTCCACTTATTTTGTAAAATGCCTAATTTGAGCTTCCTATGATTTCCAATTTTCTATCTACAATGCTCTTTCATTGTGGCCAACATTAATTGCCAATGTAATCTAATCTATCCCACTCATTATTATGTTAGTCTACTTACAATATCAAATGCAATCCAAGATTACTTCTTCATCTACTCTATCCTTACCTTCTATAGAACAACTTCTCTTCTTTCCGACACAACCTTATCCTTCCATTGAAAGAGATTATTTTTGTGATCCAATCCAACGACCTCAATATCATAACCATAATAACTTATTCATCGCTCTGAGCCCACCCTCTTAGTACGCTCCCTATCATAATCCTACAAAAGGGGTAAAACTCTAAAAAGAGCTTTTCTACATGGAATCATTTTTTTTTCCTTCCAAATGCAAATGACTGCAAAGTTAGTGTGCTTCTGAATATTCCATTATACAATAGGAAGCCACTACTACTGATTTATTAAGCTCCCAATCATGTACACCACAAGAATAGTGTTGTAGATAAGGTCATTTGAGCTTTTTGACCATATATTTGTTTCAGCCAATAACAGTCTCCTTCAATATTCTTTTATTGGTGCCATAAACAAACAATGTTTGGTAAAGAGATGACTGACAAGCACAAAAGTTAGCTATGGGTGCATAGTGGAATTCTGCATGATGGTAATGGCACCCCTTTATAGGTATAAATTACATCAATGCTCGTCTTCTTCCTTCTTTGTTTGTTTATATGTTTATTTAACATTGTTTGTTTTTCTATCATAATTCGAACACTCGTCCGTTTTGATGATATCTACTTTGGCTTAATGAATCTCCTAGTCTTGTCCTCTTTATAAAACTTCTTAGGAGAGTTACTCGTTCTCGGATTCTCGCTCCTAAATTAAATTTGAGAGTTTTGTTACACTAAAAAGAATAATAACTCAAATTCAAAGACCAATGTGTGAATTTTTTTGAGTGGCGGCATCGCAATAAAATTGAGCTTTAGCATCCTCGTTTTTATTTAAATTGTATTAGTTGCACGTTGATTAAATATACATGATGAATCAAAAAAAAAAAAAAATCTTTAGGGGGTTCTCTAAAGTTATTAAAGATATGTGTTGCAAGTTGCAACATCTCTTTTACATTCCGAACGTTGTAATCCCAAGTCTTATATAATAAAGTGCTCATATGCAATCTAGTCACTTGATCAGATAACTCGTGAGGTTAACTCGAGCTAGTGGGTGCATGCGCCCCTGGTGTGCTCATATTGGATTTGCCCAACCAATTGGTGAGGGTTCAAGCTTTGGAATCCCGTTCATGTAATAAATTCATCTTCGAATCTTGTTTCTCTTGTCATGCTCTAAACTCCATTTTTCTCCATAATAAGGGTTTAGTTGCCTTCAACCTATCCTTTTCAAGAGTAATTTGAATTGTAGAAAATCTCATTAGTTTTGATTGCTTTGCAGGGAGTCATTTTAGTTATAGTTTATAAAAATGTCATATTAGCCCTTGGACACCTTTAATATGTTGAAATAGTCTCATTAAGAGAGTGGAGATTAATTTAATATTTTTATAAATTTTGGGACTAAAATGAATTATTTTAATATTTTACTCATTTGTATTGGGTGGAGTTGTTTGGATGTGGTCTTTTATTATGCTAAAATAATAGGAAAATTTTTGTATAAGAATATTTTGATCAAATTTTAATATGAGCATAATATATAAAAACCTTTATATTGAAAGAAGCTCCATAGCTTTGGAATCAATGCTTGCAAAAAACTTAAGGGCAACATTGATATTTACAATTGTAGTACCCTTTTTTTATCAAAATTTAAAGATGAACATATATATATATATAATATATATATATATATATCTATGTGTGTGCGTGCGTGCGCACTCCTCAAGCCCAGGCCTGTTGGCGGGTTGTAAGTCCCCTCAGATCAATGGTTCGATCCTACCGTGGTGCGAGAACTCAAAAATTTTAGGCACATAACGCGGGCTCTCATCATGAGGCCAAAACATGCATTGGAAAACGATATTTCTCTTGGGTAGAGATATTTCTCTTAGCTATATCAATCTATATTTATATCATTGTCATGGCATGGATGGAAGTTAATTAATTAATTATTATTTGCGACTTTTTTTCTTCATTCTTATCATAATTAATGCAAATCCTTCATATAGTATCATGCACTAAGATAAAACAACAGTAAATGTTATTTGATGAGGATGTGGCATGCAACTTCAAAGGGCCCACCTTTGTCCTCTTTTAAACTCGTAAAGAAGGTTTGCTTTCTAATGTTTTGTTTTGCTGCTGCTGAAAAAGATTAAAACCTAACATTCAAAGTAGTGGGTCCCACCACCAAACCATTCAGTTTGATTATATAAACTATATTTCTCCAAGAAATTGTTTAGATGATCGATTATTGTATAATTTTGTTCAAAGAGAAAAAATTATTTTACATACTATATATCAAAAAAAATAGGCTTTCCTCGTTGAGCCAATGCATGTGTTAATAAGTCCGTCGGCATGAGAAGCACATTTTCAAATCATAGGCGTCACATGCTAAATCCTTGAGAGAAAAAAAAAAAACTCTAAATACATGCTATGGACTCCCCATTTCTTGAAGATAGAGAGCCAGAAGATGAAAAATTACCTGTCGGCCCTTGCTTTATTAAGGGCATTACAAGACATTATTGTCATTTGTTGTGTTTTTTCGTATCGATAACTGATTCTAGTATCTTTTTGTGTACTTAGACCTTCTGGTCAGCAGATTCTAAAGTCAATCAACCAAACTGGTTTCGGTCGGATACTTTTCTTGGATGTTGGTCGGACTTTGCTTTGGGAAGTTGATCGATTATGAGAGTGGTAGCCAGTTGACCTTAGGTCGGTCGGTCGGTTAGCTTGCTTGTTCCTTGCTTATTTTTAGAGATATTTGGGGGAATTTTTTATAGAGTCTCATGTTGATAGTTGTGAGATTTTTGGATGTACTAGACATTCATTTAATCTTTAGCGTGAATGTATGTTCCTAGTCAGTTTGGGTGGACAATTGGTCGTCGGTTTGGCTTTCAGTGGATCGACAGTCTTTTGATCTGTCGCCAATTTTTTAATTCATTGGTCATCGGTAGGCTGATAATCTTCAGACGGTCGACTGATGATTCAGCCAGTTGGCTTCATGAGTATTTGTGTACTGTGAGTGTGTTTTTTACTTATTTTTTTAATTCTCATGTAGGTGTTTGTGTCTCTCTATTTGGGGCATTTACATACCATTTCAATTGTTATGTATTTACACATCTAATAACAAAAAATTGATTTTCATTTTCATATCATTCAAATCTCTTACATCACATCAAAATATTATTATTTTAACTTTTGAAAAGTGAAATACAGCTTTACATGCATAAGAAAGATGACAAATATGTAAAAGCTGAACTTTAGATGTTAGACATGTAAATACATGTTAAGTGATATGCATGTAAATCTTCCTATATATTTGTGTGTGTTGCATAAATTTACCTTGAGATCAACAAATCAACTTCAAACTAGTCTATTTATATAATCCAATTCAAAAAGCTATAGTGTTCCTAATTTGTTATTTTTAAATGAATCATACATGATCAAATCATCACAAGTTTATAACAGACTATGAAATGAATGATTTGTTTCATTGTTATCCCAAAGTGAAAATTTAGTCTCATTTAATAATGTACTTTGTGCGTTAATATATGTGCAAAACTAGTGTTCCGATCGTCTAGTGCAAGTTTGATAAATTTGAATAATCAAGTATGGAGATCAGATAGAGATGAAGTTGTAGAGGGTGGAATCTTGAAAATCTAGAGCAAAGGGTACCAACAACATTTGGCTCTATTGTTAAAATAGATGCTATTTATGTGCGGATACACACATTCAAAAGTAGGAACTTGCGATGTATTTCATGATAGATTTGAGTCATACCAACTAACTCGTAAAGTCAGTTTAGACTGTGTCACGCAGACTCCGGTAGTTCAACAACACAATATTAACAATTCATCAGTTCACGAATGGCCTACAATAGCTCATCAAAGCCTCTCGCATTGAGAGTTCGTCTGACAACTAGTCTGGGTGGACAATTTATTTTTGAGATATTATGTAATAAAGAAGATAGATAATTTTTCTTTATATAGATATGTTAATTTATAATAAATTTAAATATTTTAATGTGTTGATAATTTTAGGGCAAATAAATGCAAGAATCGACACAAATTAAAAAAAAAAAAAACAGAGATTTAACGAGGTTCGACAAAGTTATCTACGTCATCAGGGGCAGCGTGACGGTTTTTCTTTCAATTCAAAAAAAAATACAAGATATGTAATGTTACAAACAAGACATAATATATA